AAATAATAAAATTTCTATTTTTGCGACAATTTAATGCCATCGCAAAAGTAAAACCTGTAACAAAGTCAATAAAAATATTAAACAAAAAAAAAAAAAAACACGGTGTAGTGCTGTCACAAAAAAGAAAAAAACATCCTGCAATAAAATTAATAAAAATATTAAAATTTCTCTATAATAATTGCATAATAATATAAAAATTTCTGTATAAAAATAACAAATTTTTCATAATAAAATATTCTTCCATTCATAATTACACATCAACAAAATTATCCCACTACATAATGTTCCATAATACATATATAATGTTTAAATACATGATTTTGTTCATAATTCAAAATAACATAAACCAAAATTAAATGTTTTTCTCATCATTCTTCGTAGATAACAAAAACAAAAATTAACCACATTCTCCACAGGCATGCATTCCACACGAACCACACTCCTATATGAGAAATATCTGAAAAATAAAAATAAAAATAATTAATGACAATATAATTATGTGTTAATGTTAATTACGAAAAAACATAAAAATTTAACTACTATAGCATCAAATACAACATTTTTTTTGTTAGTCATCAAATCCCACATGGATAATTAAGCATCTCAATTAAATACAAAAATAAAAATTTAACTACTATAGCATCAAATACAAAAAAATATAAAAATTATATCTGAAATCTGGCTCTAACTCCCAACAACATCAAATACAACATTTTTTTTGTTAGTCATCAAATCCCACATGGATAATTAAACATCTCAATCAACAATGAGAACAGATGCATTTCTGAGAAAATTAAGCAATGGAAATAAGTTATGACACCAAATAAGACCTTGTTGAAAATAATAGCACCAAACCATTAATTTGAGACAAATTTGGCAAAACCATCTTTAATTTTAGGCTTTAAAAAATGCTATTCAAGCTGCAATTCCTTGTAAAATTACATAATCAGGAAGCTAGCTACATACAGTGTCAATAACCAATTGTCCTTGCCAAATAATGAAATTTATAAAAATTTCTGACATTCACATGTTTCTTTCAGTGCATGTCACGGTGGTCAGGTGAGCAACAAAAATTTCTTTAAGGCAGTTCAATTCAAATTAGCAGCAAGCACTGGAAATGTCAACTTAGGCTATTTGGAAGGGCCTTAGTATACATCTAAACATAAACAAAATGAATATCAGGTAACATGTACAGAACTTTACCTTTTTATACTTCTGGAGAAAACCCAAAAACAGTCCCCACTTATTTTGTTGTTGAGAATTTTGAAAAACAGGGAGTAGGATACATTGAAGTAATCTAGAAACAATAGCATCTGGCTTTTGTCGAACTATATTAGATACGGTCCAAACAAGAGGCTTGCAAAATGTTTCATAGTTAGTGTGAGTAGAATTTTGTGATCAAGAATGTAAAAGATCTTAAATGGACCAACCAAAAAACTACAAGGGACAACCTATTTCCAGAAGTGTGAAAACAAGAATCCACATAAGAAAAGAGGTAAAAGATGTATGAATACCTACTTTAAGAATATCTAGAATGATATCCCATGATTAGGCAATCACGGATTCTATGCCTTGTTCAATGTAATCAGATTTATTTCCCTACTCGTAATCTGTCTACATATATACATGGCTGAACCTCATTATAGGTTAAGCTAAATTATACCAATCTTCTAAAGACACAATGTGTAAGCCTCAAAATTGTCAAAAAAGTAACATGTAAAGCTCTAGGCCATATCACTTTGTAAAAAAAAATATTCCTACAAAAACAAGATAACTACATGTAGGAGATAAGCTGGTACTATGAAGAGATGCATAAGAACATAGGACTCATGCACAGTAATTGCACTAATCACAGAGAGTGCTCCATGGCCAACAAAGAGAAAAAATAATTCAATCTAATACCCAAACCTAATCACACAGAAGTTGTAACTGTCACTCAAAAACTTGAATAGCCATGGACATGTGTAACTTCAAATTTCATCACAACTTCCGGGGCTCTGGCCAACTAGAAGATGTAACTGCGTAAGAATTAGCATACACAATTCTAAAAGAAAATGGGACTAGTAACCTACATGGAAACTGATATTGTATTGCATAAAATGAGAGACAGACTTGTAATCTCTACAAAAGTGCACCAAAATACAAGTCAAAGATCAACGTAACACGCAAAGAAGCAACCTAAAAATGGAGTATGAAACAAAAGACAATGAGGCACTATTTCCACTCTGTAAGCCCAGAAAAGTTCACGCTAAAATGGAGTATGAAAC